GAGGCGCTCGTTGCTGTAGTAGAGGCCCGCGTGCTCGCCCGCGTGGCTGCTATGGGTGAACAAAGCACCAGCGAGAGATAAACAACAAAGTATTACGGGAACGGGGTGCGCTACGTGCATTTTTGTAAACGCAATCATTTCACTGACCCCTATTCAAACTCACGGGAGGACACGCCTTTGGCGCTCCAGGGGACACTGACTTCATTGGGTGGCACTTCAGCTTAATTCGAGACCCAAAATATGGAGGTGATTTTTATTTGGAGGTGTTATGGCTCGCATTGTTCCAGGAGGGGCATGGAAGGGAGGTGAGGGGGGGGGGGGGGTGCTGGCCGCATGCTGGTGAGCAATCGCCTGCTGCTCGAAATAACTCATCAGGGCTGTTGAATCCCCCACGCGACTATCAGTGACAACGAGTAACAAATTGGAGTCGGCCGCTCCGATAAGGGGCTGCTCCTGCTGCTCCCCCGTCCAGTGCGTCGTCTGCCGCCGCGCCGCCGCCATGCCGTCAGCCTGCTCGGGCGTGCTCTCCTGGGCCAGGACGGCGACGAGGGGCGCTGCCCGGCGGCGGGCGCCCGACGTCGCCGTCGTTGGGGCAGACGACGACGCCCTGGCGGTGGTCGCCGTCCGCTACCTGGGCGAGCGCCCGTCGCCGCACCCGGGGCGGCCGCGCCTCCCGACGCCGCCCCACGCGTCGGAGACGTCCTCGGCGCCACCCGCCGCGCTGCAGCTACCCCTCGCCGCCGCCAGCCCCGACGCGCAGAGCACCACGTCGTTGGAGGGCGCGGAGGGGTCCAGCGAGTACTCCGGGTCCTTCCGCGAGGACGACATCTACGCGGAGCTCCCGGACGACGTGGGCCCCCCGGCCCAGCCCAGCCACCGACCCTCCTCCGTCGTGATCCTCATCAAGGAGGTCGACTGCGGGGCCTCCTCGTGCAGCACGTCGGGTAAGCGCTTTGAGGGTCCTCTTTATACCGAGTTGGCCATGATAAATTCACCCCTCCATCGCCTAAAGGGATGGGTACATCTATCATGACCTGTCGATCTCTATTTTTCCGACCCCGAGTTGAGTTCCGTTGATGAAAGTACTCAACGAGCATGACAAAAGCACCCCTGATAAAAGTACTCTGGCGTGACAAAAGTAGACCCCTGATAAAATCATCTGGCGTGACAAAAGTACCCCCCACAAAAGTACTGCTCTGGCGTGACAAAAGTACCCCTGACAAAAATTACTCTGGCGTGACAAAAGTAACCCCCCGTTGCCCGCAGGGGAGTCGCCCCCGCGGCCGCCGCGCCGGGTGCGCTTCACGACGACGGCGTGCTGCTGGGCCGGCGTCGCGCCCTTCCGCGGCAGCCGCTGCGAGGTGCTCACCACGCTGCTGCTCTTCATGTCGCTGGCCGTCATCGTCGTGTGCTTCGCGTGCGCCGCCGACTCGGCGCAGCAGCAGCACCGCTTCCCTCCGCACCCGCCCGGGCCGCCGCCGGGGCCGCCGCCCGTCGACGAAGATCCGATGTTTCCCGTCGACGAAGGCCCGATGTTTCCTCTGCTGCCACCCAGAAGATGTCATCCTCATTGAGAAACACGTCGGAATATGCCTTATTGCCCTATTTTTACCTCGAAAATTATTATTTTTTAAAAATCTTTAGCTTGAGGCAAATGTCGTCAAAATAAGGTAAAAATTTCCTTATATTAACTTTATTATCTTTGACATCAACCGGAAATGCTTTTTGGAATATTATCCGGTGTGTACACGGAATATAGTCCACCCCTTGCTGCGCACCTCGTTACGTCTTCTTCTCCTGCTGGCCCGCCCTGCGAGCGACAGTGACGCCGCGTCTTCTTCTTGTTCGTCGCGTTTCTCCAGGTAACGAGTCATTACCGCCCTAAACGCGCCATGACGCGCAACTACAGCACATTGCGTTTTCGTTGTCATTTTTATTTTGTCTGAAAATCATCGGGAAAACCTCTTTTTTTCTTCTTTTTTTTGGTGAGAAAAAAAACCTCGTCGACCAAACAAGTAAAGTACAACAATCTTTTTTTGTCATTTACCCAGCCACTGACGCCGTTTCATAAAATTACAAGAAGCGTCAAGAAGTCATTTCGGGTGAACGTACAAAACTGCTTTTTGTTTCGACACTGCCACAGCGAGAGCAACATCATCATCATCATCATCATCATCATGAGCTTCCCTTCGACAACAAAAATTACTTCTTCTCGACCCGTCACAAAGCGAGCGAGTGAGCTTGTCCAACTTCAACTCGTGTTGTAACAGCAGCAGCTTTCACTCCGGCCCTATACCGCCGCCCCCCTTCTCGTTTTTCGAGGCCTCCTTCACCTTCCTGATGGCCGGCCGTGCGTCCTTGGCGCGCTCGTCAGCCCCGGGTAAAGCGCCTGCGTGGCGGAGCGTGGCGTGGCGCGAGCGTCCTTCGCAAAGTGCGTCCGCGGCCGCAGCGGCGAGGCCCGCGACGGGGGAGGCAGGCGGCGGGGGGACGATGACTGTGAAAGGCGCTTGGTGAAGCCTTCTGGAGCAGCAATGCCCAAGGGAGCCAGGCGCAGGGCGCAGGGGGGAGACAACGATCGGGGGGACAAAAGCACAGCAGAATGGGCGAAAAGGGGGGAAAATAAAGAAGAAAGGGGGAAGAAACCTGCTGCTGCGGCATTCGAACCGCCGGTTGGTCAATCGCGACGAATGACGTTCAGTTCAGTCCAACGCTGTCACCGTGACCGAGACAGACAGGCGCACAGTTTGAGTGCGGGGGTGATTGAGCCGGACTGGCTGCCGCGTCCGTGTTGGCGCTGCTCAAGCACGCCTCCGGGTCGCAACCGGACAGACCCAAAGGCCGCCGCCGACGGCCGGTGTTTGGCAGACGTCACATATTGACACATCGAGTTATTGACAAGGTACGCACCAGATGAAACGGTGATACCGAACCGGCTGTTGGACCAGTATGGGCGCTCAAACTCGTCGTGTTTATTATCTTGACCAAGGTAAAA